GAGAGAGAGAGAGAGAGAGAGAGAGAGAGAGAGAGAGAGAGAGAGAGAGAGAAACACACATTCACAGACACACAGAGCAGTAGCTCTTGGGCTCCAGAATTGTCTAGCTTAAGTAGGGCATCTTGTACAACTTCCTTAGCTGTAGGATTCGGACTAAGAATGCAGATCAGATCAGAAACCAAACTTCAGGTGAATTGTATCTCATGGTGCGAGGAGTTTGTACCAAGGCGCACAGTCAAATCTAAAGGCAGAGGAGGAGAGTGTGTGACACAGAGGGGCAGAGAGCTAACACTGAGTGTGACACTACCCAACAACACCAACGGCCACGATGACAACAACAACGACAAGTACAACAGTGATGGCAGCGGCTGCAGCGGTGATGGTGATGACAAAGACACGACGATGAAACACGACAGGAGAATGGATTATACAGATCCGGAAAGCGCATCATACCTCACTTGCATGTCCGCCGGCACCTAGAGTGCAATCAACCAGTACTCTGACGTCCCTGCCCTCAAAAATATTAACCACATCTGCGAGCAGAACAGGTACGTGAGGCAGACGAGGTGTCACAGGCACAGCGGCGGTAGGACGACAAGGCTCTGACGACACCATTGGTCCAGTACCTGCACCTGTCGACAGACCTGCACTCGCCGCGTCCGCGCCTTTCGGTCCAAGGAGACTAAGTTCATCCACCGTCACGTGAGAAGAAAGTGTCGTTCTATTGCAAACAGGTGGTTCCGTCTCTTGAGAAGAAACCCCGGCCTCTTCATCGCGACCAAATTTGCTGCTTTGCACTTTCGCAGCAGTGAAGTCGTGACATGCACCATAATCCACATTGACATCATCCTCGGTTCCCCCTCTAGCCACTAAGAGACCAGATTCAGTTCCCCCTTTCGCCACTAGGGGACCAGATTCAGCTGCCTTATCCGAACACATCTCCTGTGGAGGGGACCCTCTCTCCTGGCTCTTGAAATTCCAGAAGGGCCACCAGCTAGACCAAGCTCCCTTAGAGTACCCTCTCTGAATGGTACTTCCCAGAAGCGGACCCCTCTGCAGACGTTGATAGCCTGACAACAAAGTGCCCATTTGCCAGCTTGGCATTATCTGCTGCCAACAGCAGTTCCTCGTCCCATAATAACCCTCCCTTTTTTTTCTCTCATCCCCACTACTACAGCCACCAAAATTTCCGGTCACTCTATTGGTACCCCCCGTGCTCGCAGAGTGATAAGAACAGTGATTAACCATCTCGCAGGTATAAACCTCCAAAATTGGCCTTCGAAACCTCCGTTGACTACTCCTAAAACACAAACCGCCACTACTATTACTACTGCTACTACTACTACCACTCGCACTACTGCTACCACTACATCTGGAACTACCAGCACCACCACTTAGCTTGGGACCACACCTTGGTAGTAGTAGGGAGTGACGAAGAGACGATGCATGGTGGGGGTCTTTTCTTAAAGTCCCCCTAACCACTCTGGAGCTCAATCCACCACTAACGGATGAAGTCAAACCAGTTAAACTTTGGCCATCCTGCAACCTCGGGCCATTGTCACTGAGCCACCCTCCTCCTCCATTTGCCCTCAGTTCTAAAAATAGACCGGCATTTGCCTGGCTTTCCTTTCTGAACTCCCCCCAATCTGTCAGGTGTCCTTTTTGTCTGATCACCTCCCCGCCCTTCTTCCGCCCACACACGACAACGAACTCTCCAAACGCTCCCTTTGGCTTGTAGACTTCGAAAAGTAGCTTCTGGACTTCACCGCTTTTCATGTGCTCTGTGCTACTCCTCCCAAACCGGCTACCATGATGGCGGACAGCCAAAGCCGCTGACTTCATCCTTTATTGCTACTCCTCCCAGCAGTCTCCTTGCTATGCCAACCAACTCAACACAAAAAAAAGCGACCCTACAAATTGTGAAGCTGTGATGCAACTTTTTCTCTTTCTTTGACGAGTTCCAAGGCTGTGTGTCAATCTATGATTCCCTAAGCCATCTCCGTCCTCCACCATCCACCCTCCTTCGCTTCCCTTCCCTCCACTCTCCCCCTTTGCTCACGCGCTCCATACAAACGGTTCAAACAAGCTTATTGGCATCTCAGGGCCGATGAGGTTCAAACAAGCTCGTTGGCATCTCACGCGCTCCATACAAACGGTTCAAACAAGCTTGTTGAGCCATGAGGTCGATCTGCTCGCAGCGCCGTCCTTCTGATCCCACGGCACGGACCCCCGCTCTGCACGAGTGAAGCAAGTAGCCAGCTTTGTCCACCCGGGACCACTCACCCAGCAAACCCCCTCCCAGTTTCCAAGCTAACCCCGCCTGTGAGAGCTCTCTCGACCAGTATCAGTCTCCTCGAGCACATACCCTTCGTTGCTGCTGCCATCTTCCCGCCCGCCAAGTCATGCAGCAACCCAAATGCAGTCACTCACCCAAATTGCACCCCACCAGCCCTCCATTTGGTTGCCACCACATGTCACCAGCAATTCAACCACCCTCTTCCACGAAACAGCTCCCTGCAGCACCCTTGAGACAAACAGCGCAATCAATCAATCAATCAATCAAGCAATCAATCAACCCGTCACCCAGATGCAGAGAGAGAGGGAGAGGAACGGAATAAAGGTTTGGTTGTTTTGGAGGTTTTCGAGGTTTTCGAGGTTTGGGAGGTTTGGGAGGTTTGGGAGGTTTGGGAGGTTTTGGAGGTTTTGGAGGTTTTGGAGGTTTTGGAGGTGTGCAGGTTTGGCGGCAGTTTGTGACATTTAAGTTCGTTGCTGTGCTCCGTCCTTCATCCGGGTAATCATTCCCATGATTGACGTGGGGCGTTAGGTGAGGGATGAGGAGTGAGGGGTGAGATAAGGGGTGAGGGGTGAGGGGTGAGGGGTGAGGGCAGGGTTGAGGTCAGGGGTGAGGGGTGAGGGGTCAGGCCAGGGTTGAGGTGAGGGGTGAGGGGTGAGGGGTGGTAAGGGGTGAGGTCAGGGGTAAGGTGAGGGATGAGGTGCGGGGAGGGGAGAGATGGGAGGTGAGAATGTCACCCTGCCTGTCAGTTGAGGTGCAAACCTCCATCCGGGTGGGGGATCATGCTCATTCTCGGGAAGCAATCCTCTATTGGTTTTCTTTTCACTTACTTGGATTTCGTTTTATTTCCCCATATTATCCTCGTTTTCTCTTTCAATTTTCGTTCGAGTCTTTTAGAGTAAATATAAAATCCATGAATAAACCACCATTCTGAAAGCTTACCAGGGGGCATACGATTGCCGTCTATAATATGCTCTGAAACATAAGGCATGATCAGCCGGATGGTGTTTGAGGCACAGCTTGACCGTTCTTCAGTAAGTCAGTTCATGTTACACAGAGAGAGAGAGAGAGAGGAGGAGGAGAGAGAAAGAGGGGGGGAAAGACGGGGAGAGAGAAATAGGGAGAGAGAGATTCATGAATCAATGCATTCGCCTAGCCCATGGGGAGAGAGAAATAGGGAGAGAGAGATTCATGAATCAATGCATTCGCCTAAACCATGGGGAGAGAGAAATAGGGAGAGAGAGATTCATGAATCAATGCATTCGCCTAGCCCATGTGGCTGAATGATATATGCATGCAACTGTTAATAAACAGAACGTCAATTCGAATTCCTGCTGGAATCAGATGAACACGACGGAATCATAAAAACAGCAAAGGAAAAAAAGAATGCGTCGCTTACAATGATACGCTGCAGTCCTCCTTGAAACGCTTCGAACGAGAAAAAATTGGGAGAGAGGAGGAGGAGGAGGAGGAACTGGGAGAGAGGAGGAGAAATCCGGCGAGGAGGAGGAGTTGGCAGAGAAGAGAGAAAAACCGAGATGCGGTTGGTGGACCCCCTTTTTTTTTTGCCCCACAGCTCATGCATGAACTATGCTCAGCACTTTGATTAACGAAATCCCAATCTATGGGCCTCGCTCCACTACTCTCGAAATGTGCAAAACAAGAGTGAATCGTCCGTTACAACATGGAAAGATACACCGCCATGATTTTTGTCTTTTCTGCATCTCGAGAGTAGTTGAGCGAGGCCCTATGTATCTTTTTCCAATGGTTTTTTTCAAAGAATCGCTGATGACACTGATGGGTCGAGCGCAATTTTTTTTTTTCCTTGTTTGCTTTCCTTTTTTTTTTGGTGAGGGGCCAGCCTCTATCAGTTTGTTGTGTTCATCAGATTCCATCGGGGATTCGAACACGCAGTCAATCACGATGAATCCAATATGATTGTGCATGTGTGATAATGATGAGGATGATGAGGATGATGAGGATGAGGATGATGAGGATGATGAGGATGATGAGGATGATGATGTGTGATTCATGATGATGATGATGATGATGATGATGAGGAGGAGGAGGAGGAGGAGGAGGAGGAGGAGGAGGATAGGAGTGATTGTTTAACATACACGTGGATGGAGGAAGTGGGAAGATGTCCGCGGATCTGTTGGGTAAACACACCGAAGGAGAATGCGGTCATTATCGCTGTATCTAGACTGAAAACGGCCCCAAATACAGCTAAATGAATACAACCCCTTGCTTTCTATTCCATTCCGGGGCGAAGACGGTAGATGAACAAGTCCGAGATCTTCCACTGCCGTCCAGCCACGTGTCACAAGGAATGAAAGGATGATTGTCTGCCGTCGCCTTGGAATATGCACGCCCTACTACGACAAGGGAATCGGCATTATATCTTTTTCTTTTTCAATCAAGAAATATATCGATCTTTAGAGGGTTAAGGTGGATTATCACTCACAATATCATCGGTTAGGAGACTCTGCCAACTGTAGAGGGTTCAGCCTCCTGATTCGTCGGTAAGTGAAACTCCGACCGAACAGTCTGTCACAGGCCCTCGTTTGCTGTCCTCTTCCCCCTTCCCTACCTCCGGACAGTTCTGTTTGACGATATATATCGTCACAAGAATATCAGAGCGCAAATGCGAAAGAAAGAAGAAAAGGAAAGAAAAACAAGAAAAAAAGAATTCAGTTTTTATCTTCTTCATTATAACTCCCCCTGTTTGACGATATATATACATAGATATAGATATAGATACATATACACAGTCTCATATCCTATAATGAGACTATTCTTCGAATTAGTTTGGAAGCGGACTGCACTTGCCCATTTGGGCATTTAAACCACCAGTACTTCAGAGTCGTGCCCATTAACAAGCCATGATTTTAGGAAATGTACGGGCCACTACAGCAGCGCCCAAATTCATCCGACTAAACACGTTTCTACTCTATTTGTTTCCTACGGCCTATAGCTGGGCCAAGTACTGGTGGTTTAACTTTGATGTTCCTGGCCTCAATTTCGGCGTTTTCCGAACCGAAATCGTCAGGGCTTACAGGGTTCCCGCCAGTAGGACCCGCCGATTTCATTCATACAGTTGTTACGGCATTTCCCTGGACAAGAGAAAGAGCTGCTGCCCAATCCGAGCATTCAGTTCGGGAAATGGGCTGATTGAGGAGGAGGAGGAGGAGGAGGAGGACACAGCTGAAGAGCTATTTAGTTGGGGAAGAGTGTTTTGTTTTTGTTTTTTGTTTTTTTGGAAGAGTGTTTTGAGTTGGCTAATTCAGACCAGCCTTTCGGAAAATTGGCTAATTAAGACAGCCCTCACCCCCCCGTGTGCGGGAAATTGGCTAAAAGGTGAGGTGCTCGGTAAAGACATGGTCATTCAAGCTGTAATAGAAGCAACAATTTCAGGCCAGATACACAGCTATAATAACCATGCACTACATTCGTTGGGAAGCCTGCACCGCGTCTCGTTCCCTCTCTCCCTCTCCCCTCCCCTCTCTCTACCTGCCTGCCCCTCCATCATCCCTCCCTCCCTCCCTCCCTGCCTCCCTTCCTGGCCGCCGGCCCGCGTTCCCCATCTGCCCGTACTTTCCTCCCTTTTTTTTCTTTTCTTTTAAATAAATCAAAATACTGATTGATCTTCCCGCCTGTCGTCAAACCTTGTGCAGCTGCCAAAAGCCGAATCCAAAAAAAACAGAAAAGAAAACAGAAAAAAAAAAAAAAAGAGGCCAATGCCCTCCCGTGAAAGAGAGAGAGAGACGAGAGTTTGCACGCGAGAAAGGGGAAAAGRGGGGGGGGGGGGGGTTYTTTTTTACCAGCGTTTAATTGGTCAATTCAAACACGGGTAATTAGGACAACGTCATTATTAAATAGATGGAGGACCGCCTATTCTCTTTGATCAGTGACATTCTATTTTATTCGTGCCTCTTAACATCAACCGGCCTCAGGAACCTAATAACAAAAACCATATATAAAAGAGGTTTCTTCACAAAGTCAGAATGAAGAATTAGGGCCTCGCTCCACCACTCGCCAAATATGAAAACGACAAAACAAAATGGCGAGTGAATGGGCGTCGCTCCACTACTCTCGACATGCACAAACGACAAAATTCACTGCGGTGCATCTTTCCATGTTCTACCGTAAGATTCACTCTCGTTTTGCACATTTCGAGAGTAGTGCAGCGAGGCCCAACGTCTCTTTCCACTTGGTAGCAGAGTAGTCGAGCGAGGCCCTTAACCCACAGTAATTAACAAATCGGAAGGGAAGGAAGAGAAGAGGCGAGAGAGAGAGAGAGAGAGAGAGAGAGAGAGAGATTGAAAAGAAAAGGGAAAAGACAAGGGAGAAAGACGACGAAGGAAAAGACGGATGAGATCGGAGAGAACACGCACCATGCTCCGCAATGTCCTGTGTGCCCCTATATTTTGTTCCCGGCGTTAGGACTGCAAACTGGGGGCGTGGCTGGGGGGAAACCGCACGGATCGTTGGGCGACAGCTCTGTGATATCATCTTTGAACTGACCAGCCTCAGGGCCTTCAGGAGGTCGTGGGTTCACTTCAAGGGCCTACTAGCTCTGGTAAGGCGCTCAAGTCACATTCAGGAGGTCGTCTCGCGGCGCATAAATAAAGCACTCCGCCGAATGGAGAATGGAATACATACCTTTGTCATTTGTAGCTATTACCACTAGTACCTTAGCCGCTTGGGAAAATAGCGGGCCTCGGGTAGGCGTCCGACCTTTGCAGCGGCCGAAGCGGCCGATCAGATTTATCAATGGCAGTCGTCGTCGGGCCCGACCTCCGAAAATTCAGGCTATTGGGAAAACAGCCAGTTTTCCCTATTTTCCCACAGGTATTGACTTACTGTGAGGGCACTGGTGCACAGCCCGTAGTTCGTTTGTTTATGTGGTTTGGGAAGGGTAAGGTAGTGATTATGCTGTATGTATGTTTTGTCATGTTTGCTATACACAACTCCAAGAGAGTGTGTGTGTGGGGTCCCGGTTGGTGCTTTATTCACGATGTTCATGGGACGCTGGACCCAGTTTCCAGCAGGTGGCGCTCCCCATCAATAGACAGAAGAATGTATGTGCGTGTGTATGTGAGTGTATGTGTGTGTGTGTGTGTGTGTGTGTGTGTGTGTGTGTGTGTGTGTAAAAGAGAGAGAGAGAAAGAGGGGGAGAGAGAGAGAGACAGAGAGAGTGTGTGTGTGTGTGTGTGTGAGAGAGAGAGAGAGAGTCCACGTGCGTGTGTGCGTGTGC